TTTTGATAATTATTAGTAAATTATTGTATATTTTGATAATTATTAGTAAATTATTATATATTTTGATAATTATGAGTAAATTATTACATATTTTGATAATTATAAGTAAATTATTATATATTTTAATAATTATTAGTAAATTATTATTTATCTAAATAATTATTAGTAAATTATTATATATTTCAATAATTATAAGTAAATTATTATATATTTAAATAATTATTAGTAAATTATTATACATTTTAATAATTATTAGTAAATTATTATATATTTCAATAATTATTAGTAAATTATTTTAGTAAATTAAATTAAGTTAAATGAAATTAAACTGAACTGAACTAAATAATGTAACAAGTTCTTTTGGAACTATTATTCAAAAGAGAATTATCGAGTGGCCAACTCGGGTGCAAAGCGTGAACAAAGAGAAAAAGTGAATTCCGTCTGTGCGCACAGAGAAGTTATCGGCGCATCTTTCTGCCTTTTTTTGTGCAACGAAATTATTAGTTATATTAAGCTGTTAAGCTGTTCCGAGCTTTCTAATTCCGAAAAATGGTGGATAAAACGGATCGCCGAGGCGAAGTGCACAAGACCTCCGCTGTTGCAGACAACGTTCCGAGCGCGAGTCGGCAGTGGCTGCACGCGCGTGTGCATCTTGACGCAATTGCGTCTAAACTGCTGCACGGAATACGTACTCGACTTTTCACGGTCGCGGGCGCTGATTAAACATTTCATTATGCCGATGCGCGTTTCCACTAGAACGCAGCACGATATACGCATGCTAATTGCGTTGCTACCTTTCGCCGGGACCGGGTTTCGTTCGCGCCGCGCTCAAAAATATTCTGCTTTGTTGCTGCACAGAGAACGCACGGGCGTTCATTCGTGTTCCTTGTCGCTGCACCGCGTGCACCGAAATCGAAATTCGGCCGCCTTGTTCTCGAAACAATAGGACTCTGAACATTAAAAATTTAATACACCGAAAAATTTCGAAGCTTTTTCCTTCGATATGCGGACAAAATTTGAGAACATTCTCGAATGAAATTGTCAACGGGACCATCGAAGTCGCAGGATATTCCCGAATTTCCATTCAACTATTACAGCATTATGTGATACACGTGGCGACTGTACCGAACGACGCAAAGCTTATAACTCTGCATTTTGTAGGTACGGGTGTTTCGGTGTGCACCGAAAAATGGGGGTAAAAAAAGGCAGAAACATTGCCGCGGAAAAAGAAGCGGGGAGATTTAAACGGCGGAACGATTTACCGTTGTTTGAAAACAATTCGTTTTTTCGTGAATGCAAATTCTCCGCAGACTTATTCCCGCGTAAAGTTCAGTCGGCGCCGCGGCGGTAGTTTAAAAATAAAATCTACACGATAAACAGTAATGGCGCAATTAGAATGGTAAATGGTTCGCGGCAAGTTTGTCGCAGGACGGTTCCGCGCGCGGCGGCCATCGATTTTTTGAAAGATTAATCGCCCCGCGATTTTCTCCGTCCGATTTCGAAGAAGGGGATTAATGGAACTGCGTTTCACACAAGTGAAAACAGATTCCGGATAAACCATGGACAATGCGGGCGCAACCCGGCCGTAGGAAACCTTCACGGCCACGCCATTGCCGATTTTCTAATACAGTCTGGCCAGCGTGATCGGCGATATTTCTTTCGTTCTGATCGCGCGGAACTGTGTTCTTTTTTCTTTTTTCTACATCTATCTCCGAACATTTTCTCGAAACAAGCGAACCGTATTGAGTTTTATCGATAGAAACGTGTTAGATTTCAGTCGAATTTCAACGCGTATGAGATTTCAATCCGGTTCTACGTGTATTAGGTTTCTATCGAATTTATAAATGTGCATTAGATTTCTATCGAATTTAAATGTGGATTAGATTTCTCTTCGAATTTAAATGTGGATTAGATTTCCCTTCGAATTTAAGTGTGGATTAAATTTCCCTTGGAATTTAAATGTCGATTAGATTTTGAAAATACTATTATTACTCATATACGAGAAAATAAAATTCTTGTAATTGTTTAAAACTAATTATTTTTCTAGCAATTCTTATTTCTTGATAAATTTTTTGCAGTCTCATAATATTATAACATAATAAATGTTATGAAAAATTATGAGAGTATGGTCAAGACTTATAATATTATAATATCATAATTTCATGCACTTCATGTTATTTCATTCAAATAGCACTTCACGATGTACTCTACGTACGTATACAGTGTGCAACAATAATTTCTGTCGCTCTATATTATTTTTAGAGTTTCAATTTAATATTTAATTCAATTTAATTTAATTTTAATCCAATGAACTCCATTCTTGAGTACAGACACTTGTTAGAAATGTTTATGCAGGTTTATAAATTGTTTTAAAGCCACGAAAAATGTTCACAATGTTCAGTGGTATTTATATTTTTCTATATTCTTTTACTTAATAGTAAATATATAATAATATAATATATGTAAATATATATAAATATATAGATATAATTATCGTATTTCTGCAAAATACAAATTGCCTGCATCTGTTGCAAAAATAGGAGCAACTTAAAAGTTGCATTCTTTCCTGAATAATCTTATTAGATCGGACATATCGACATTATTTTTGTAATCTGTCCACTGTCTGACATAACAAATACTCATTTCTGTCGTAAATCCACGAAATCGGCAGTCCATTTCGACCAATTTCGAACTGAAATTTCTCGAATAAGTTGCACGCGGATAACAAAGGCGCCGAGACCTTGACACCGAAACAATCCCGTAGAGAAAAATAATCGGGGGAAATTACGGTCGCCCGGAAAGTTTCGCGAATAAAACGCTATCATCGCCGCGTTCCGACAGATAACAAGGTAATAATTGAGGCGATTAAAACGAGCGCGCCACCCGTTAGATCGCAGGTTTCGTCCCGGTTTAAAAACCGAGCCAGCTGCCGGCCTGTTAAAAGAATCACACGCGCATTAACTTCTTATTCGACGGGAATGATTTTTACGGTGCAGCCCGTGTGTGTGTATGTGTGTATGCATCGTGCATACTATAGCGAGATGGTCCATAAACGTCCGTCGTTCCGGTCTATTCGCGAGTACACGTTGAACTTGATCTTGCCGTTGCCGCACCGAAAACTGACGATCGATCACCGTCACCCGTGTCCCCGTATTATCAAACTATTTCATTTCCTTCCGAATAATTTCTCACTGTCGCGGGACCACTCTTACGCGACCATAATCGCGCGCGTCTCTTCCGAAAATATCACTGTCGTCCATCAGACCGGAAGACCGTGGGGACCTACCTTCCCCAAGATGTCTGCCGGATGAATATCAACCCAAGAAATTGCTTCGCATTATGTTTGCTCGTTCGTACGTCTCTCTTATACAGCGTCTACATTTATTTATTTAATGTTTAGAAGTATTTTCGACGCTGTTTCTTTTCATATATCTCCGAGGTTGTATCGTATTCGTTTTATTGGTACGTTTTAAAAATTCATCAGCGGATTTTACGCATGCATGCGATGATTTAGACGGTTTTATGCAATTTGATGATTGAGTAATATCGAGATGAATTTTTGTTAACCGTTTAAGATAGTTAGAAGAAGACTAAAATGTGTTCTATAACGCTTTGTGTCTTGAAATTGAGGCAGATTTTTATCTTGTAGAAAAATATGGAGTACAGTAATAAGCAAACCGTGGATTTGGCAAATTTGAGTAGATGCAATTTTTAAACAGTGGAAAGGTTCAAAGAATTGAAAACTGTGAATGATTATTTTCTAGCTGTCGAAATAGTTATGAAAGAGTTGCTATTTGCTAGTTGCTATTTCTTGCAATTGTTTTGCATTTCGTGTACCTAGTGCGAAATGAAATTGCGAAATACTGATGACGAAAATTGCGAGACATGAGAATTTACGAGCATTGCATAAACTGAAAAGCAGAAAAGCAGAAAAGCGGGAAAGCAGGAAAGCAGAAAAGCACAAGAAAGAGCAGAAAAGCAGAAAAGCACAAGAAAGAGCAGAAAAGCAGAAAAGCACAAGAAAGAGCAGAAAAGCAGAGAAGCAAGAAAGCAGAGAAGCAAAAAAGCAGAGAAGCAGAGAAGCAAAAAGGCAGAAAAGCAGAAAAGCAAGAAATCAGAAAAGCAGAGAAGCAAATAAGCAGAGAAGCAGAGAAGCAAAAAGGCAGAAAACAGAAAAGCAGAGAAGCAAAAAAGCAGAGAAGCAAAAAAGCAGAAGAGCAGAGAAGCAAAAAAGCAAAAAAGCAGAAGAGCAGAGAAGCAAAAAAGCAAAAAAGCAGAAGAGCAGAGAAACAGAGAAGCAAAAAAGCAGAAAATCAGAGAAGCAAAAAAACAGAAAAGCAGAAGAGCAGAGAAACAGAGAAACAAAAAAGCAGAAAATCAGAGAAGCAAAAGAGCAGAAAAATAGAAAAGTTGAAAAGTAGAAAACTAGAAAAGAAAATTCATCCGCGATGTGTAGATTGTTATTTCAGCAGAACTTTACGGATTCCTTAATTCCAAAAACTATGCGAATCCATGATCACCTTTTCGCCAAGCGATGCAAGGGATAAAGAGCAACCCCGTCTCGGCGTTTTTCTCCCCCTGGGTACTTCCATTACCAGAGTAGAATAGAGGAACAGCAAGAGGGTTGTCGGAGGGTAGCTGCCTTCTTTCAGCCACAAAATTATTCGTGATAGCGATGGCAAACTTGAGAACGGCAGGATCGAGGGCTAGCAGCGACAGCTACCCCCTCTGTTCAAGGATACAAAGGGTCGGATGATAAATCTTTAAGCAAATTCTGATGATAGCCGATGCGTTCCTTTCTCTCTCTCTCTCTCTCTCTCTCGCTATCTTCGTCGCTTCGTTTCATTACGTCGATGCTCGTGCACAGTGAAATGCAATCTGCGGTTGTCAACTCTCATTTTCTAATTCCTTGCCTTTCCGCTTCATGCTGGAAGATAATATCCTATCGTTGGATATACCGGGTGAGTCGTTTAACTCTTTCACCTTAATTTTTCTTGTAGACCATACGCCCTGCAAAAAAATGTTTCGAACGAAAGTAAACAAACCACATATTACATGAGAAGGTATTTCGAACAAAAGTGATCTACATGTTGCATGAGAAAAATGTTTCGAACGAAAGTAAACAAACCACATATTACATGAGAAGGTATTTCGAACAAAAGTGATCTACATGTTGCATGAGAAAAATGTTTCGAACAAAAATAAACCATATCTTGTAGACCATATGTCCTGCAAAAAAATGTTTCGAACGAAAGTAAACAAACCACATATTACATGAGAAGGTATTTCGAACAAAAGTGATCTACATGTTGCATGAGAAAAATGTTTCGAACAAAAATAAACCATATCTTGTAGACCATATGTCCTGCAAAAAAATGTTTCGAACGAAAGTAAACAAACCTCATATTACATGAAAAAGTATTTCGAACAAAAGCGATCTACATGTTGCATGAGAAAAATGTTTCGAACAAAAATAAACCATATCTTGTAGACTATATGTCCTGCAAAAAAATGTTTCGAACGAAAGTAAACAAACCACATACTACATGAGAAGGTATTTCGAACAAAAGCAATCTACATGTTGCATGAGAAAAATGTTTCGAACAAAAATAAACCATATCTTGTAGACTATATGTCCTGCAAAAAAATGTTTCGAACGAAAGTAAACAAACCACATATTACATGAAAAAGTATTTCGAACAAAAGTGATCTACATGTTGCATGAGAAAACTGTTTCGAACAAAAGTAAACCACATATGGTACATGAAACTGTCTAAAAAATAAACAAAAATGAACCGCACGTTCTACAAAAAAATGTGTTCCGAACAAAAGTAAATCACACGTTGCATAAAAGAATGTTTCGAACGAGGGTAAATCACGTGTTGCAAACAAAAATGTTTCGAACGAATGTTGTTTGGTATAAAACGAAGCACGATGCACGGTCAGAATTAATTCGTTGCCGTTCACCTTTCTTTTTGCGAACAAGCATGGACAGAGCGTGCGATCCGGGGATCGATGCACACCCGGTCGTCGATATCGGACTGGCCGGCGAGGATGACAGTGATTACAGGACAGCGATCAGAGTCGATGATCGAATTTCAGGGATTAATGCCGGGAAATAACGAAACCGTTGAAGCCAGAAAACGCGATTGTCTCTCGGCGTGACGGGTGACGGTGCAGTTCGCGTGTTAGGGAAATTTCGACGACGGCGTCCGGGTCGTGGCCGGGTTTCTCTCTCGCGGACGTGGAACCATCGTGGGGAATCACGCGGGGGCGGCTCGATTCACGCGAAAGTCCCTTGGGCGAGATAGAGGCCGCGTCCCGGCCTCCCCTGCGAGAGGATCAACGTGGATCCGCGGCTGCGAAAAGGCACAGTCAATTGGTCCCGAGGTCTGACACGGTATCCCGCATGTGTTCGTGTCGCCGAACAGTGGGATGGAAATTGCCAAATTTCTGACAGAACCGTAGAACTTTCGACGGAGATGAGATAGACAGGCGATTCTTTTTTTTTTTAAATTAAACTTAAAATTGTCCCGAAACAAGGGAAAATTATAGAGAATGTCGCACGAACGACTTTCGACGTTGAATATCTATGTTAAATATATTTTTTAAGTTTACAAATTAAGTTTGCTTCTGTTTGTCCGTTTTACTGTTTTCCTTTTTAGTATTTTATTTTTGTGAATTCTTAATGGAATTTCACTGTATTATTTATTGTCGGCATCGGTATTGAGAAATGCGGTAGAACCGAATCGATCGAGGAAGATTGACAGTGTTCGGATAATGAAACAGTTACTCGGTTACAGTGATTTGCACTTACTATGTGAACGTGTGTATGTGCGTCTGTGTATCTATGCGCGTGCTTGATATATCAAGTGTCTGATAATAAAAGAAGGAACGAGCGGCATTTCTTTTCTGTTTCCTGATTCGCAAGATTCTGTGAAAATGTGAATTAAGAAATACATAATTAATTCGCGTCAGCAACTAATTGTTCGCTTCTCATTCGTACGCGTAAAATAGATAGCGTTCTATACGGACCGTGTTAAATTAATTGATTTACATGCGAAACATGTTTGGATAACAAAGAACTCCGATTCTATTCAAACTCCACCATTAACTAAATTTTGCCAATGCGATATACTTTAACACACGTTTTCACACGTTGTATTATACATTCGTAGCAAGCAGCAGAAATCTTCTAACAATTAATGTACGAGAATTTCCTAATCGTCGCGATTCGTTGGCAACAGTTTGACGTGGTTCGCCCCAAGGATCGTCTTGTTTGATCTCCGCGTAGGCACTTTTGTCAAAGGTCGGTGAAACGGTTTCGGAGGAGCACGATGCAGCGAAGTGCACGGTGCATTAAATGCGTTCAGCGCGTTCACCGCCGTGGGGAATTCGCGAGGCGCAGGTTACCGCGAGTTAATTAGCAATCAGTTGTATAACAATATAATTATACGTGCCGCGAAGTTATTGTTTTCGTCTGTTGTTTGACTCCCTGTTATCTCGTCGTAAATCATACTGCTTAAAAATCCAGTTGACAACTGTGCCCGACGCTCACCAAACGCTTCGAATCTTGTTCGCAATACTTCGAATGTTGAAAATGGTTTAGGAGAAACACGATGCTCGAGATGATCGAACTATTCGTCGAATCACTAAGTTTGTACCTTGGAGAAAACCTTGGATCATTATTTTGCAGCCTATTTTACTAGACATTTTAATTTCATGCATGTCAAATTGAACTCGCTTGCTTGTAGGAGACTTATATTTTTTTCAATAATTAATTAAACGTTATCAAGCTTATAACGTGGAAATTCTTTTGAATTGTTGTACAGCGATTTTTATAGCAAGTTCAGTGCAAAGAGTTTACATTGTTTTCTTGTACGACGAATTTGATCCATACATTTACTATTTTTTAAATTGTATATAAGATGTAAGTATATAATCTAAATATAAACTAAATATAATTTAAATGTAAAAACTAAATATAATATATCATCTAAATATAATTTAAATATAATCTAACATAATCTAATATAATCTAAATATAATGTAATATAATCTAAATAAAATATAATCTAAATATAAACTACTATAATAGAAATATAATATAAATGTGATTTAAATATAATTTAAATATAATCTAAATATGAACTATAATCTAACTATAATAGAAATGTGATCTAAATATAAACTATTATCTAAATACGTATATACGTATATAACCAGCTCACAAACTAAGGCTCTCGAATTTAAATCTTTAATAAAGAATTAATAGAATAAAAAATTAATCGAATAAAGAATTAATAGAATAAAGAATTAATCGCGTAAAGAAATAATCGCATAAAGAATTATTCGAATAAAGAATTAATCGAATAAACAGATCAAATAATTTAGAACGAATAAAACATTCGGCTAGAAGAAATTGATTCGGACGATTATCTTCGATAAATATTGATTCGAAAGGATCCGAATAATGCCGAATTCTGTTTAGAACCAGGATGTCGCGCGATCGTTTTCATCCGTCATTCGGAAGATCTGGGAGCCTCTGGCCGGAGTTGACAGGCGTAACGACTCCCGGAACAAGCGGCTGTCGTCGAAACGGGGCCTCGGGGTGAATCAAAGATAGTCATTACCGGCGCGGCCGTATCTCCGTGCCACCTCCGACGAAATTAGTCTAGCCCGTGGCGCGTTCTAAAGGGGTGCTTCACACGTACGCTATAAAAGAATAATGGTAGTTCCATCTGGGATGCGGAGGGCGCGGCTGCGAGCGGTTGGAGGATACTGTTCCCGCAATAACTCGCAATCAAGATATTAGGAGAGAGAGATAGAGGCGAAGACGAAGTGTGTTTTAAGTGACTAAGAGGCGAGTGCCTTCGAGACTCTCTCCGCGCAGACAAGCCGAGGCTGCTGGATCCCGTTGACCCCGATTCCTCGACTCGTACACACACGTGCACACACACACCTGCACACACGCGAGCTTCCCTTAATCACCCTTGACCCATTTACCCCGCGAAATTGTGCATACCACCTTTCCAATCTTCCGCCTGCACGTCCGCGATGATTCTTTCAAGAAGGCGTCGCGTCGCGTCGCGTCGCGTCGCGGCATGTCGCGACAAATAGCATCGCTACTGTTTCGATACTGCATCAGGCTCGTCATCCTGTCGAAAACGTCGTGTTATGCCACCAGTGTCGATCCCGGAGTTGCATTTTTGATGACTCTTTTCGTCAGCTTCCGTGTCTTTCGTTCACTGCGATCGCAGTTATCCTAGTATTGCAATTGGATTACTCAAGCAATTATAATTACAAATAAATTCAATCACATTCTAATTCAATTCCATCGTAATTCGCAATTCAGATCTCCATTCGATTAAATGACAATGTAATTCGCAATTCGATCGCAATCGAATTTATTGCATT